AAAAAAAAAAAAAAAAAAAAAACGTTGTTACTTACATATGGATATCGAATTTGAAGAATTTTCGAAACTATTCACTGTTTCTGTATTTACCATTATTTCTAATTTTCTCTACACTTTTTTATAGATACTCTAGTCCTTCACCCTTCGACGCTCGATTATTTACTGAAGAAAAGAAGAAACGCGAATGCTATACAATTTCGACGCGAAAGACGTTACATGCTAGTTCTAGACTGTTATTTACCAACAAATTTTAAAATACATGTAACATAATATAATTGACGACATCCTATTCCCCAAAATTCTCAGTTTTTAATATAAAAGTTAGTACAATAGACGCAGGATTTTTTTCGAATAATTTAATGATTAGTTTTTTTAGAATTAAATTTGACTGGAGCTATAATGCTTGATTCATTAAAAGAACAAAAATTAATTTTTAATTATAGTTCGCAATGATTAAATAGTTTTTATTATAATTTCCACGACTTTGCATACACGGCTACTTTGCGCATACTATACACGTTAGAAACAAACACGTCGTGTTGCAAAATATTTGAACAAAAAGGTCAATAACACAGTACAGTATGTAACATATACACATACAATCACGAACAATGGTAATGATCGACTAATGTATCATTAGATTATTAACAAAACACACAACAGACTAGCAACAATTTTCTTTGATGAAATGGTCCGGATTTGAAGGCGGTTGTTAGACCGTTATGGTTTACAGTGGTGAATAACTGAAAATTACAGATTAGCCGGCGAAAGGATAAATACATTGCTTGTAACTGTGATAACTATTACACGTACGCTTTATATGTATTTCGACAGACAAAAAATACGACAATTCAGTCTTCATGCTCCTTTTTCACGTGTACTTTTATCCTTCTTAATTTATTAAACTGTTCGAGACACTCCACCGCCGAGCATAAATCTTCCTCGTTCCTTTCCAAAGTTATCTCGAGAGAGGCAAACAGACTCTCGAGGTCATAGCACGGCCATGTTTCTGTCACCTCAACGATCTTACGAAGCAGCTCCTCTATTTCAAAATCGTTCAGTTTCTCGTTGCTCGACGCCAAATTAAGCGGTGAATTTCTTGTACGTTTCGACGGTGGTCCTTCGCCTGACGCGCTGCTTTTTCTTTTGACGTTAATTTCTGGGATGGGAAAAAATCGAACTTTTGTTTTCTCTTAGCAAGTAGTGGTCACTTTTAAGGCATCATAAATGTATATGTGTAAGTCACATTTTTGTTTTTGTTTTTCTTTTTTTCTTTCTTTCTCGTAGGAGAATAATTTTGAAATAATATAAAGGATTTACTTATTTGTACATTCAAAATAAGAAGTAGTTTGAAATATTGATAATTATGTATCTGCGAAAATATATCAAGAAATCTGCAAAAACGGACTTATTACATTTATTTTCTTCGAATCAGATTGGAAGATTTGTTACTTGATTTGGAATTGATCATCACGTGAGCTGATCGCACCGTGCAAATTCTATTGCGAACTTTAAATTTGCTTCTCCGAGAAAACGAAGCTGCCTCCTCTATCGTTATTGTAGTATTATTAATATTTTATGAGGCTTTTTAACTGAAAAAGTTTAAGAAATCTTTCACTTACGAATTTGACAATTTTCCGTGGTATCGGCACGTCCTGTTTGTTTTCGTTTCCTACCTACTTCTTTCGTCTTCTTCGAATTCATAATTTGTTCGAATTTCGCTAGTTAAATAATAAATTGACAGTGATGTGCAATTACTAATTAAATTGTCATATAATTATAACTATCATAAAATACGAAAGATATGAATTTCTAAAATATATTAATAATATTATCTATGTAGATTTATTAATAATATTTTATATATATAGATTAAAACTAACGTAATATCATTCGTGTTTTATTTACAGAATTATGGTATTAAATGGTATTGTAAAATTATGATACTTTCAAAAGTCTTCAAATCAGCTATTCCTTGTTTCGACTATTTGACATTAAAATATTTATTTTTTGATTATCAGGTGACGTCAGTGAAAAATCAGAAAATCCGTAAAAATAGACATTATATTTTTTTCTATCTTTAAATAGCAACAATAGTAAGGTATTTTTTAAATTATTTAAATAATCTTTTAATATGAAAATATCGTACCTTGTGAAGAACAATTAGATTCGAGATCACACGTCGAGTGAACGAATAATTGTTTAAAAAATGATTCCCGCTGCTGCGCGTCGGGAGACATGACTTCGAACATTTCGCCTCGGTGTTTGTCGAACAATGACGCAATCTAAAAATGAAAACAAGAAAATCTTTATCATTTTCATATTGTTCTTTTCACGTAATTGAAAAAACATGTAAAAAAGTAGGTCCTTGTCTTTTTCAAGCAAAGCAAAAGAATACTCTAGCATCTGTTTCTATGATTCTGTGTAGTTATATTACTAGATTGCTAGATATTTTATGCATTTATAGAAAATTCCGGAGAATGCATATAAATTGAAAATATACATGAAATATCTAAAGTACAATAATCGATTTTATTATGTTTCGCTTCCTATTATTGTTGTAAATGTGTTATTATCTAGAAAGTCGAAAAATTCGACAACGATATCTGAACATCTCAATTTAAATATCTTTGAAAAATTTGGAATTTGAAATATTCTTTTAAATTTATAACATTATAGTACTGACTATTAGAATTGTGCTCGTGCATCATCGTTATCAGCAATTATTGTTAAATAAATATAAGCATGATTTTAATCACAGTTTCGTCTTACATCTGCTGGTAAATCTTCTTCCGGGCAATTGGCCGTAATCAAAATTAACATATGCACCGATCGATCTAAGCCATGCATCAAGGAAATAAAAACGACGCGTGCCGCTTCATCTACCAGATCCCACCATGCTAAGATGTCAGGAATGTAGAGCAACGATGGTAAACTTCGTCGAGCCATTTTCATTTTCTATCGATAATTCAGTCAAGATATTATTCAGTAATTAAACTATGAATAATTTATAGTACAAGTAAATACTTACAATATAAGTAACCATACCATGATATAAGTACAAATAATCAAATTAAATTATAGATAATAAATTCAAATATCTGAACATTTTAGATTAAGAACATTAATAAAAAGATATTGATGATTTGAGATATCTTTTACCAAGGTTTAATCAAATATTTGTGCATCATTTTTATCAAATTTATAAAATATCAATTTTCTTATTTAAATCAAATTTAATTAAGTTTCAACTATAGTATTATAATCTAATTAAGTTTTAACTAATTATGATATTAAACAATAATTTTTCACGTTTCTAAGTTACTTGAATGAGAGCTTCTTCTGCAGCCCTTCCTGTTTCCTCGAACAAAGTTGTAACGTCCAACACATGGCAAGGTAAATGTTCCAGGGTGTGGAGTAATGCTGGTCCCAGATGACGAGTATGGGAGTCATCGTCGCCGTACAATAAAATCCTGGGACAGTTGTTTGACCTCGATATAGCTCTACCAGTGCTGTAAGAAAGAGCTTTTTGTACCGTGAGTATTATTACGATTTATGAACTCTACTTTTACACTGGTCAGAAATTTAGTCATCCAAAGTAATTAATATGATTATACTGTTTTGATAAATTTCTAATTTCTAATCTTACATGATATTAGAGAGAATCAGATCAAACTTATAAATTGATATTATAAAAGTTTTCAAACATCACAGTTTCGTTATAGGATAATTCGATCATTTATTTTTGAATAAACATTGTACATTGTACGATTGTGCTTAGGTTTTGTTAGATTTTCTACTTTGGATGTCTTATATATTTTTATTTATTAATAATAATCTATCACAAATTAGTAATGAGTAGCTCATAGCGAAAAATTTCTTGTTCCCTGATATAAAACAAGAATTCGATGCTCACATAATATCGCAAATTAACATTCCTGGTGGACAAAGAATCTCGAGCTGTGATAGAATGCGTGATAAATTATCTTGAAGCAATGGCTGAATTTTATATGATAGAGACTTCACTGGTGCGACTGAAACACGATGCGATGCTGGTAAAATATTTTGTTGTGCCCTTAGAAAATCTTGTTTCTCGACCTGAAACAGAAAATTGAAAATTAGAAAAAGGAAATATCACAAATCACTTCGAAACATAAGTAAAATTTTATTTCGTTACTTTCGTTCGATCGTTGTAAAAATTTTTAGTTGTAAATATTACCAACTCTGAATGAAATGAGGTTTGTAAGAATTCGTCAACATTGAATTAAACTTTCTTCCTTATCTTTAAATCTCTATTATTGAGAAATACTGTTCTCATTACTTTAAGATGGCGTTCGTTAATTTGATATTTCGCCTTGGACGTGTATATTTCCGGATAGTTTCTTCGAACGCAGCACATTACCGCCTCGGCGCAAAGAGCTTGCAAATCACTCCCGCAAAATCCGACTGTTTTCGATGCAAGATACGCCAAAAATTTCTGCGGTGGTTTCTGTTTCCAACTTTTTATATGAACCTATCGTCACATACATGATATCTTCATTTTTTTTTTTTTATTTTATTTCATTTGCTTTGGCAATTAACGCCAATTCAGGGATTATTATGCCAGATGTTGAGGTTCAAATCATAATTCAATTAATTGTATTTTCATAGCTTTAAATAATAGCGAATGCGGAGTCACATGTCGACTTCGTTTATATATAATTACAAAACTTAGTATAATTAAAAAAACTTCTAAAGAATTGCGGAAGATAATAATTGTAATATTATAATTTACGCGTACTGAGAGTATTTCTTTTCTCGCAGCATAACATGGCAACGGGAAGTATAACTCTCTGTCGAATCGACCTGGTCTTCTTAGAGCTGGATCTATAGCATCGATTCTATTCGTTGCTCCAATTACTATGATCTCTGAATTGTTCTCTAAGCCGTCCATCAAGGCCAAGAGAGTGGAGACAATGCTGGCGTGCACAAAGTCTTGACGGCTAGATCTGATTGGTGCTAAACCGTCAACTTCGTCGAAGAAAATTATGCAAGGCTTCGATTGTTGCGCCTGTAAAATCGACGTGGTTACAATGGTTGCAATGTTTAAAATAGATCGCAATATTTAATACGCAAAACAAATTAATTGACATGAATTATGCGAATTTAATTAAAAATACGAATTTGCACGAATATCCTGTCTAGAGATAACTTTCCTTAAAAAGTGATACACGATAGGGACTATGGAATTAAAAAAAAAAAAAAAGAAAGGGCAACATATTAACCAGTGAAAAAATCTTCTGAAGTTTCTTCTCGCTTTCGCCGACCCATTTGCTAAGACAGTCAGAACCTTTGCGTGATATGAAGGAAACCTTCCGTTCGGAGTTACTACACTCAACAGCTAAAGCACTGGCTACCAATGTTTTTCCTGTTCCTGCGAAACAGAGAGAACGTTCGGGGATCGGGGATCTCGTTTCCAACGATATTCCGCTTCATTACGAACCGTAGAACGTTTTATTTTACCAGGAGGCCCGTAAAAGAGCAAACCCCTCGGCGGTTTCAGGTTGAACTTCGCGTAAATGTCACCGTACATGAGCGGGAACAGAACCGTCTCCTTCACAACGCGGATCTGTTTCTCCAGTCCTCCGATGCAAGAGAAATCCTTCACGCAGGACATTCTTCGCGATCAAATGGACCTGCGAGCTTTTATTTCGCATACCCGACGAACCTATTCTCATTCGGCCACCACGATTTTTCCACGTAATTACTCCTTAAATCTTCGGCCAGTGAGATACGCTTCGGCTATTCGCATCGTTGATCGTACACGTGCATCGTGTATTTCCAGAATATTTTACTAGAATTTTTCTGCCGTGTGTTTGACGATTAATTCAAGTTGATTCACGATGTTATTTCATTATTTTTGGACGTTTCGTCGATACAGTTCCAACGAAACATGCGAATCGTGTTGCACTTTGGAGCAATGTTCGTGCAATTCTAAATAATATATAAGACACGATCATTACAACTCTCTTCGGTAGGATAGGATCTTGTTTCATTTAAAGTTAAAGCGTTCCAATTGCACAAATAATTCTATAAAATATTTAAATATTTACTGTTAAGTATTTTTTAGCGTTGCAGGAGCATGTACTTGAATACATAAATATTTTACATATTTAATAGATGTTAGAATGATGTTCAATTATTAGAGAACACATTGAGAAATCATGTTTATCGCACATTTATTATTTTAACAGATAAATTAAGATTCTTAACATGTTTTGGCTTTAATTCGTTAATGAAATTTATGAAAAGATGATTTCGTAGAGGAATAATAGGAAGTCAAGCAATAAAGAGGTAAATCTTTACATTACGAAATTTCAATTTATTATGCTACAATGAATGACAATAAAACGTATTACTTGTATGGTAAAATAAATAAGGCAGTGTATGCTCTTTTGTTTTGTTTCCTATATCTTCTACACATCTGTTCCATATGTCTGAAACTACTGTCTGCCAAAGGTCATATTGTACGAACATATTCAATAAAAATTTCATTAAATTCGTAAGTCAATATGTTCTTTGCAAATAGCAGCGATAACATTACAATCTTTATCATTTGAATACTTTTATAGCAATTATAGTAGTTAGTTCAAACGGCAGTGGTTACGTGAACCTCTCGATTAATATAATGTACATATAATTACATAGTTTTTTTTTTTTTTTTGTCTTTTGCGATATTCTTGGTAATACAAAGATGATAGCAGATCAGAAAATAGCACCAGAAATTATTCTTGGAATAATTACATGTCTTGGATTTCTTTATCATAAAGTGGAATGTAAAATATGTCAATAGAAACAGAAAAGTCACAATGATTCAATTAATGTTCGTTTCTTAAAAATCTGTATTAATTGTATATGTGATTTTTCTGTATCATTTACTATTTATTGAGGTTTACATCTTTGAATCTTCGTCTCTGAAATATCATACAAATTCTTTGGCAAATATCAGCGATATTTAATATATTTTAGTTAAACAACCAAGTTTGTGGATACTACATTACTGAATTAAATGAAAGAAAGTATCTAAATACAGATTATATTATTTACACGCAAATCAAATTTCATATCACTGAATTTTTTAATTAATGTTTTAGAAATTAGAAGCAATCTTACAGCTTGTTTGTAATATTTCAAACTCCTTGCATTTTATATATTCTGGTAACGGTATTTTTGCTAATTTAATCCTTTTTTATCTATCATGAATACCAATACTTATTTAGTTTTCATAATGTGGCACTAGTTTGTATAATGTTGATTATTCTTATCGTAAAGGGATACCTGAGCAAGAGAAAGTACAATATTCAAGTTATCAATTTCACTAAACCTCGTGTAAACTAATTATTAAAATTAAATAAACTCAACTCTAAATGTTGGAATTAAATTTTAAATTGTACAGAAACGCATGAATTAAATTTATATTTTACATCATTTTTGTATTTTACATCATTATGTATTTTGAATTACATCAAAAATTATTTCAATAAAAATATCAACAAATAGTTTTAAATTATTAGAAATAATACTACTAAAAATTTCGAAAAATCTTTTAAACATTAGTTGTTACCACACTTTAATTTTATACAAAACAATATATGTGCATGGATACTTTTTGATTTTTAATACTTGTAATCAAACGCGAAAATAACTTTACATATAATTTTAAATTAAATTGTGAAAATCATACGAATTTTTCAAAAATACTATAATTAATTACAAAGAAAATAAAATAAATTAGTAAATTATTTTTATTTTAAATTAATTATTTTAATTCTAATATGTTATTCTAATATATCAAGCATATATATCAAAACATTAAACAAAGATAATTGTCCATAAAAAATATTAGATATATAAAACTATTTTACTTCAAAATTTGATATTTACATTATAAAAACTCATCTAATAGCGTAATGACAATTATTTTGGTAATTCAATTTGAATACAAAGAGTAACGCACAAAAGGAATAAATACTATGTAGTGAGCATTTCTAAAGTTCAGTCTTTTCATCCCTATATTCTAACACATTTTAAGTAAGTCAATTATAATGTAGCAAAATTTAGTTATAATTCTTGCTACAATTGAAAAATAACAATTTAACTTAATTTTCACATTCGTAAGTTTTTAATACAATTTAGTTACCAATCTGTTAATAACATATCATATTTTTTTTAATAATATTTAATTACATAGCATTCTTTTAAAAATTTAGTATCATTTACTATATGCTTGATCATAAAAATTATTATTAAATTCTTACAATCCACTTTAAACTTATACAATATATTTTCTACTTATACATTTATGTAAATAATTGAAATTAAATAAAGAAATTCATTTGCTACCATATTGTTTTCTTGTATGAATGAATACTATTTATATGATTAATGTCAAAGGAAGAATCTTATTACTTGCATTCTAGAATGCATCAAAATCTTTTTTCTCATCTATAACGTTTGGTAACTATTCTTTCACAGTTACAGTATAAATCACAACCAGTATACAAATCTAGAATGTAAGTTTTATATTAAATATTTTCTAATATTTATACAAATACAACACTTTTTTTGCATATTATTACAATTTTTACCGAGGTATTTCACACATTTATAGTAATTTTCAATTATATCCATTGTCATATCCACAATAAAATCAAAACCTAATTTTTAATTACTTACGGCTTATAGCTTTGGTCAAAATAAACAGACGTGTATGTATTTTATTATTCATCATAATTAAAAAACTAATTTAATTACCTAAATATAATTTACTATTTGTAATTGTACTCAATTAAATCGTACTAATTAAAATATGAAATACTAATTTTGTATAATAATTTTTCATCAATGTATATAAAAATGACGGATTATGCTAGATACAAGTAATTTTTATATATATTAATGAAAAATCATTATATCAAATATTATTTTATATAATATACGTGACTATCTAATTTAGTTTGCTAAATTATCCATAATTTTTAATTACGTATATTTTTATTACTTATCATTTCATTTATGCAGATATATTTCAAGTAAAAACTATAAACTGAAAAAAAGCACAAGTTATTTTATATTGAATACAATCTAGTACAAATTACTCCTAAAAATCAATTATGTACAAAGCCAAAACATTTTAGTTAGGCAATATATAATATTGCACATAAAATTTGGAATGTATTTATACAATTTTTCTGTTTATAATATTTATTTTTAAATTTGTATTTTTTTAATAATTAATTAGGAGGCTAATACGCAATTATTATTGATATTAATTAACATAATTATGACCTCTAATGAAACAATAAAAAAGAACATATAAAATTACTTTACAGATTTTAACTTTAAATCTTGAACATTTTTATATTATTGAGTATTATTTCATTAAATGATTTTTTTTTTTTTAAATAGAACACATGATTTTATATATGCATGTTGAAACCTACATGTCAAGATATGTCTATGTTTAAAGTACTTTTATAAAAATTATGTAAAGAATTGTAAAAATTCAAAGTAATAACTGGCACATATAATGAAATCTATAATGTATTTTACGAAGATTTAGTAGGTTTACTACTATATGTATATGTGATAAAATAATTTGATATAATATACTGTCAAGTACCACATGTAAAAAACTATATTAAGTACATATTGCATTAAATTACTATCATCTTTGTACAACCAGCATTTGCAAAATTTTATTATGAAGAAATATACCTCTTTGAGGCACGAAGTACTATACACACATTAACGATAAAATTATTTCACAAATATCTCATTAAAAACAACTTACACAAAAAATAAACTATTTGTAACTTTTTAATTCCTTGCATGTGATTTTTTTTATGCCAATTATAATGCAAATATTGATAATTAACTGAAAATCATGTATAATTGCTGATTTAAATTTGATATCAAAATTTGTTACTAAGAGGTATATTGTGCCAGCCGCTAATAATTATAGTTAATAAAAGCCAATATTATTATAATAATTTATCATGTCATATTTAGATACTGAGATAAATGGCTAAAATCGTATCTTCTTAGTTTCATGTATAACAATCATCCTTTCTTTTGTAAGATTAACGCACAGTTACATTTCACTATATCGTTTATCTATTAATCGTTTTAGTACCAGCAGCTGGCTATTGAAGAAACCGTGTTGGATAATGCCATGCGGTGTGATAGTGTTTCCTTCATGGCGAAAAATGCCATGCAACGCAATAAAAATAGATAAAATAAGAAATTTTCTATTTATGCATGTGGCTAATTAAAAAGAAAGTAATTATGAGAGGAAGCTTCAATATGATTGACAATGATATGGAGCTATAATCAAAACCGAATGCATTATAAATTGTATCGCGATTAAACGCTGTGGCACTATTCGACACGAAATCTGAACAGCGTGATCGCACTAAATGGCATTAAAACGATTAAAAACCGAAATCTTAATGTATCATTTCGATTTTTTTTTTATATATATCTGTGTAATAATAAAGTTACCTCCTTTCTTTTGTTAATTATCAATAACTGTAAAGATTGAAAAAAAAATATACTATTTTAAATAATTATATGATACACTAATTGATAATCTTTGTTTAGTGTAAATGTACAAAAATTTTGTTATGATACTAAAGCATGTGATTTATAACATGTCGGTTTGGTTAGCAACATGATGAACTTTCTCGTATGTTGTCTCGAACTCTTCAAATCTTTTCACTTCCTTGAGCAAATCCTATATACATTATGAATTAAAAGATATTTTATATTATATAAAAAGATTATTCTTTCTACATCGCATTATTTAAAAATGAAAAAATAAAAATTATATATTATTAAAAACAAATATTATTTAATGACAAATATGAATAAAATATGAATAATATCAGAAAATTAATTGACTAAAGAAACGATAATACATATATATTGAAAAATGAATAATAAATTTGGTTAAATAAGACATATTTACCTTTGGCAGTGATTTTCTATCGTAACTCTGAGCATATCTTCCTACACATCGACTCAGTTGCACATAAATGTCGCGTAGTACTTCAACAGGAAAATCCTTTGTAATTTCAACGGTAGTTTGCCATGCATTCTCCAATTCACTTTTATCTATCACAAGTTTTTCATTTTCTTCAGATCTGGCTGGACTAGAATCATTCTCAATAGCAAACGATAATTCATCTACACTTTCCCGTCTAGATGATGAATTAGACGCGCTATTTTCTGCATTCTTTTCTTCTTCTGTAAAACATATCTCGACATTTTCAATTTCATCGATGTGTTGATCAGTGACATTATTGCTTTGAATTCCTTGTATGTCTTTTGAACTTTCGTTTTGCGAATCGTTTTCAGAATCAGAATTATCAAATAAAGAAACATGACCATTCAAAACACTATTTGCTTCAGTTTCAAATTCCTGAAACTTTTCTAAGTCTATGCTTGTTGTTTCATTGGTTAGACAAACTTTGTTATCAGATACGGTTACATTTTCATCAAAAGCAATTTTTTTCCTTTTATGAACTTTCTTTACATATCCTCTTGCCCAAGCAGGTATTTTACGTTTCCTGGAACTATTATATCTTCTTCCATTTACAATAAGGGAATGACTAGGACTCGCAGTGTCTTTTTTATCTGTTCGTTCGATTGTGGATGTAGGTTGTTCCGCTTTTGATTGATTTTTATTTTCCACTTCGTTGTTAGGGGCACTTTCAATAATTTTACGATTCTTTGAAATTTCACGACATTTATCCTCAAAATCGGAATCCAATTCTGCTTTTATTAATGCATACGCATTATCTCGAAGAGAACATGCGCGGTGCCTTATCAATTTGTCTGCTGGATCTCTGTGAAAGAAATGACTAATATATAATACATATATATAAAATATAATTTATACATATTAATGTCGTAAAGAAATGTAACACTATCGAAAAGCAATATTAACTATGAGTGGCCTTCAATAATACAATTTTTTTCATACGATATTTCATAGTGCATATACATATACATACACACATATACATACTAATTAATAAATTATATGTCAGCAATTGAAAGCCACCTTACTACGGAGCAACAACAGCAACGGATAAACAGGAATATCTGAACTACCTCTTTAATATTCCAAGGGAAGGCCTATCACGTAAGCTGACATGAAAACACACAACATGAATGTCATTATCAACTTTAATTTTATTATTTATATTTGTATGTACAATGACAAAAAAATATGAATGGATAAGTATAAAGAATCATATATGTGTAAAATTCTTCCTTAATAATTTATGAAAAAAGTAGAATAAAAGAAATATATTAAATGCTTCCGTGTTTAAATTATATTTAGTAATAGTAGTAGTTATGTATAAGAATTGATTAGAAATTTGATAAAACAAATATTGTACACTGTACTCACTGACCTATCAGGATTGTACTCCAAAGCATTTTTACAAATAAGATCAATATCATCAAGAAAATCTCGAGCACAAAGATAACAATGCATATCAATCTTTGTCATCATGGTTTCTAGATCCATAGGCTGTTTTATTATCATATTATAATCTGGTACTTCTTCCGTATCTACTGGTTTTGTAAACATGAAAAATCTGCAATGCAAATATTTGATGTCAGTAATTATCTCACAAACAAAAAATTATAATATGAAAATATTTACTGTCTATTTCTTGCCAGTTTTGCACAAATTTCTCTTAAGAAAATTCTTAATTCTCTTAATGAAACTTCTTCCTTCTCATACATTATTTTCTTTTCTTCTTCCGTTAATTTCTTTGGTAAAGGGTCGGGTGCTATAGGAAGCTCCTCTAAAACTTCTACTTTATCATCTTTTATTTTTGGTGGTTTTAAACTCTGAACCATAAAAATAGGTCGGAAGAATTTAGATCTTTGTTCTGCTGTTGGTGTTTTCATAGAATAAACTTCACTGCGAAGTTCACTAAACAGACTTCGGAGTTGAGTAGGAAGATCCTGATATGTTCTATCACTTGTAGCTAAAATTAAAATGGGCAATGATGGATCAAGTGCAGCGATACGACACAAAAAGACCGCTTTCACAGTTTCAGGTACAAGTGGCCACCATTGATCAATCGACCGAATATAAATTATGGACGGTACATTTCTGGCAGCTTCGTTAAATACCTTAAAAATATTATTTAGAATATGAAAAATTATTATTAACATACGTTTTCTTTTATTATTATTACACCAACCTGTACACATGTTTCTTCTGGAGATCGTCCACTCTCTGCGAAAAGAGTACTAACATCTAATGTCTGTACCGGTAGATGTTCCATATGGTATAATAATGCTTGTGCTAGATGTGGTCCTTGACCTTCAGACAAATTTCCTCCAGAAATTAATAGTCTTGGACGATGTATTCCTTTGGTAATTTTCACTCTAATATATTTAAGAAACTAATATTAAATAAAAAAGTAAATATAACTATAAAATAATTATTCTTAAAATTTCATTACTTTGCCATAGCAGAATTAACTCCCTGTGGAAATATTCCTTTTATTGAATTAAGTAACTCCTCCAGCAGAGGTCCTAATAAAGGTTCCATGAAAAGTTGTAGTTTTCTTCGAGCACAAGGTGACACTCTTTGTGACGACGGTACGAGAATAGAACTGGCTTGTAAGAAATCTTGTTTTTTCACCTATAAAAATGCGTATAATCTTATTATAATTATTTAATAGGTATATATTCTTAAATAATAATAACATACTTCAATTCGTTCAGGATCTAAAAGTAATCTATTATTTGTCATATATATTTGTGGGTAAGTTCTTCGTAATCCTTGCAAAACTGCTTCGGTGCATAAAGCTCTTAAATCTGAGCCGCAATAACCCGTTGCTTTTTCAGCTAATATTTCTAATAATTGATCAGATGGAGAATTTTTCCATTTGCTAACATGAATTTTTAATATTTCCAGCCTTTCTTTCATGGCAGGCAAGGGAAAAAATAATTCCCGATCAAAACGACCTGGTCTACGCAATGCTGGATCAATAGCATCTATTCTATTAGTTGCTCCGATAACTATCACCTATTAGACAAAAAAAAAAAGAAAAAAATTAATCAAGTATTTAATAATCAAGTGCTTAAATATATTTTTAAAAATAAAATAATTAACCTCTCCCCTATCACTGAGGCCATCCATAAGCGCCAGAAGGGTAGATACAATACTAGCATGGATTTGATCCTGCTTCGTACTTCGAACAGGTGCAAGGCCATCTATTTCATCAAAAAATATTATGGACGGTTTCATTTGTTGAGCCTGCTCAAACAATAATCGCAACTGGCGTTCAGATTCTCCAACCCATTTAGATAGACAATCTGCACCCTTTCTCATAAAGAATGACATTTTTCTACTGCCTTGACTACATTCATTTGCCAATGCTCTAGCTATCAATGTCTTACCAGTTCCTAATGGAAATATTAATAATTACAATGTGTTGCTTTAAATATAAGTAATGTAATTATGAATATATAATAATAAATATAGATATACAAAATTACCTGGTGGACCATGAAATAATACTCCTTTTGGTGGGGTAATATGAAAACGTTCAAAAACATCTGGATACATCATAGGAAAAACAACCATTTCTTTAAGGCAGTGAATATGTGACTCTAAACCTCCAACATCACTGAATCTAATATTAATATCTAAAGTAATTGGATTTATATCTGCTTTACGATCAGGTGGTCCACCTTGAGGTATTGCTGATTGCCTACAATAAAATGATTTTATTTGAAAAACAATTTGTATGATTATTTTTAATCTAGTACACCATTTTTTAAAATCTTTCTTTACCTTGCTTTTTTACTTTTCTTTTTGTCATAACGTTGAGGTTCTGAATCACTGGAATCACTAGAGCTTGTACTTTTGCTCCTGTGTTTACGCCTTCTCATAGAATTACTAAGAACGCTTCTAAGTGCTTTTATAGATCGTCGAACTGGTTCTACATTAGCCTGAAACCTATCTACAGCCGGTTTTTTCTGACGTAAACTATACTTCCTAGGACCAGGGGAATCGGAAGATTCACTTAAATCACTATCTACCACTATAAAAATAATAAGTATATAAATAGTACAGCAAAATATCTTTGATCATATAAAATAGTTGCATATATATTATATGAAAGATGAACATCGAACCTGTAAGCTTCTTACCCCTTGGTAATTGCCGTTGTGCTGTCCTTCTAGTTCGTTTAATGCGGGTATACATATCTTCATAACCCTGTTAATAATATGAATATTTGTTATTCTCTCGTTATATTAACTATATAAAAATATCTGTATTTTATTACTTTATGTTAAAAAATATAAATTAAGAAATATAATTGTTTAAAAAGAAATTATTTACATCTTCATTTTCAGAGTTGTCATTATTTTCTGCTTTCTCACTTTCTTGTGAGCTATCTTCATCAGCTTCGTCACGTTCTACTTTAGGCTTCACATCTTTCTCACTTAAATTTCCACCGAGTCTTGTAGCAGGTCCTTCTCTAAGCCTACTTGGACTATCAGACTTTCTTGTTCTATAAGTAGATCAGTTTAATAAAGATCTAACTGCACTTCACTTTTACTTTATAAATTATTTTAATGGACATTTACCTTAAGTCTTTTTCTTCATTAGATTTACTTCTGGTTTCCATCTTATCTTTATGTTCCCTATCTGTTCTTTCCCTTTCCTGTCTATCTTTGAGATCTCTAATATCTTTGTCTTGCTCTGTTTTTTCCCTAAGATCACGATCACCTCTTCCTCTAAGTTCTCTACTACTTTGTCTGTCATGTTCTGTTCTTTCTCTAATATGCCTTGATGAATTTTTATTTGGAGGATGATTTTCACGTGATCTAAGAGGCATACGTTCCCTAAGATCACGTTTTCTTTCAGAAACTTCATCTACCATTTCTTTATCAGATGAAGAACCATGTTGTTGAAACATAGGATAACCTTTCAATGTTTGTGTACCTAAAACATGTTAAAAAATTGATTAAAAAATCTTCTCATAGCATTACTGTTATATTATTTAAAAGAAAGATTTAATATGTTATATAATATTAAACAACTTTATTGGCATGATTTAAAGTAATTAGAAGTAATATGAAGTAACTTAAATATAATTATTACATATTTTATTAATTTTAAAATGCTTTACCTAAAATCCAACTAGTATTAAGATTATCATATGTTTGCATTCTATGACGTGTGCTACGGCGCACACTTAAGTTATTCATAGATATATGTGAAGCAGAATTTGAATGCGATCGTAAAGTACGTAGATTTTTAACTCTTCTGGGAGTAGAGCCCAAATTACGGTTCCTTGGAGAAAAAATATCTTCTTCTGTATCCATTGAGTCAAGTGCAACATCATCATCTGACATTATCTATATTATATCACATAAAATTCAAAAGAATTTTATTTTTAAAATTCAGTCAATTTAGTTATATTATATATTATATGCTGAATATAATTGCATGGAATTATTGAAAGAAAAATATAATATATGTAACAATTATTTATGTAGATATATTGATACAAAAGTATTTCTACATTAAAAAGAAAAAATTTTATAAAAATGACACTAAAATAAAAGGCACGATATTAAATATTCGTATTAAATAAAAATATATATAGTATAAAAAATTATGTTTAGTTTATAATACATGAAAATAGGTTATATAACAATAACAGAACCTTTTGACAGCTAACATGTGTTTTTCCGTATCTTTTGTTGCTTTCTTTACGAAATGGAACACCGCCCAGTTAAATACTTTTTCAGAATGCTGAAGAGCACGAAAGTAAACGTAAAATGTTTCTTATTAAAAAACAAAAAATAATGATAAAATTAATCACAAAGAATGTAAAAAAAAAGATTAAAACTAGAATATACAGTGTCTACAATAATAATAAACAAAGCACTATGAAAGCAATTTAGGTTTGTCCTGAAACACACGGATTTTAACCTCCGCAATTACCTAGCTGAGGTCACTAAGGCATCAAAATGTCTAACACTTTATCAAACAAATTACCTTCATCTGGCCAGTTCTTGCTGCCGATTTGTACTTAAATTAAAAAGAAAACTGCTAACATCCGTCATATGCCTCAGGTAAAGTAACACCAGTTTCTTGATTGAGTGCACGTAGCGCATGCACACTGAGTCTCCACAAAGGTCGTTTTATGATCGACTATCACTTAAAATTATGTTACATTAGTAACACGAAATATAAGGCTACGCATGATCTACGCTACAATTACTAAATTCGTTGTTATAACAAAAAACTCCTTGTGTTGAATCAATAATTACAAAATTTCTATTGCAAACTACCATTGCATATGTGAACTCATACCGAAATTAGCTGTAAATGCATCCGTGGATCTAACCTAACCTGTTTGCCAATTGTGATCGCCTTCGAGTATATGTAAAAATACGACATTAGCGCACTCTGGAATGAAAAGAATTAGCTACAGATGATAAGCGTACGAGATCACAGACGAGGTCACCGACGAGATATATGAATAGATCAAGCATCTTACGGGGTTTTGTGACCTGTGATCTGAAGTACCGACATAGTAAAAAAAAATCACTGATTTTTTAGCGCACTCTATATTTAAACAACGGTGAATTGGAGAATTATATTAAATAAAACGATCAAAGATGATCAAGTAGTGAATGCACTAAAGCACAGACGAGGTATATGAATAGACATTGCATGACCATATCACCGACGAGGTGTATGAATAGACCAAGCATCTTACGAGGTTTCGTGGCCCGTAACCTGAAATACCGACATAGTAAAATATGACTGGTTTTTTTAGCGCACTCTATGTTTAAACAACGGTGAATTGGAGAATTACATCAAATAAAACGATCGAGGTTGGTCAAGTAGTGAATGCTCCAGCAACATGATTTTTGAGATCTATTGCAGTGTTGTCAAACTTTCAATACCGAAATGTGAAGCTAGTAACTAACCGAAATCATACTATACGGCTGTAATAGTAATATTGTAATAGAATCTGACGGCTATAATATTTGTAATAGAATGATACATAATATTTTCAGTAACGAACGCAGCAGTAAGGGATGCTGAAAAAGAAAACCTAATATACCAACCAAAAGGTCTACTGACAAAGAAAATCTAAAATAGTGCCAGAAGGGTTACTGGCAAAAAAACCGCGACACAGTAACCAGAAGAGCTATTAAAAAACATTTCCTACTGAATACAATAAACAGAAGGGCTATTGTCAAATCTACATTCGACATGAACACGACAAACGTATCAGCAACAAACCGTATCTTGTTTTGCAACACTATCTCATTAATACTACTAATTATGAAACAGGAAACTTTCAAAATCAAACGCAAAGAGTGCTTTATCATATTTAAAACTTCTGAAAATAAGTACGCAACGCTATTAATCGATACATTCAGGTTTAAAAATGCGCAACACTAATTGCAACGCGTCCAGTGCAACTGGAGGTTACTGATAATCTCTGTACAGCTCTTGTACTTAATTAATAAGCTCTAAAATTAATTAATAGTAATGGCTAATAGTATATAATCTAATTTAAAATAATAGGAAGGAAGATAAATTTTACTATGTACAAGACAATCATAAAAATTAACAATTAAACTTGCAAATTAAATTCGCAGCTCTAAAGCAAACACGATTATCATTTCTTTGCAACACTAATTCAACCTGTAATCGTACTTTCGCAAGATTAATAAGAAAAACCGCGATTTCCCCAAAATGATGATGAACAATGATGG